TTGGAGGAATCAGCCTCTTTGACCGGTGCTTCGGGCTCCCGAGTGCCGACTTCCAATTCCTGAAACTGTGGTTTGGGTGGCAGGCGTCCTTAATGGAGTTTTCTGATGGCGCTTCCTGGGGCCCGGCGGGAGGAAAGGGCGCGGAGGGGAGGGCTCGATAGGGGGTGCAGGTTCTGCAGACGCGTTCGAAACGGACTCCTTTTCTGTTCAGGCCCTTTTAGGATAGAACCGGTTTCACTGTCCCGAAATAACCAGTAAATAGAAGGGTCGGGATTGGGTAGCTGAGCAACGTTTTGTTCTTCTGAGACTGCGGAATATTAGAGTGAAGACCTACTCTGTGTTTTACTGCGCTTGTCCCTGGGCTGGGAAGAGGCAATCAACTTTAGGGTGCTTGCAGACTGATAGGAAAGGGAAACAATGTAGGCATGGGCATTTTCTTCCTATGACCATGTCCCAGGATTACATTATACTTGTATTTTAAAATGTTATGTATTTATTATTTTTAAATTTTTCAGTTACAGTTGACATACAATATTGTATTAGTTTCCAGTGTACACCCATAATGAGACATTAAATAAGTGACCATCCATATAAATCTCAGGAAGTACACTTTGAATTTTCAATTTGAACTTTTAATCTAAGCCCTGAATGCATTCTATATAGAATGTCTTGTTCCTTTTCATTTTACAGAGGTTGGCATTTGTTTTGTCATTTCTCTGCACTTTTTCTTATTAAAAACATACTTCATGTTAACTTACAGATAATGAGTCATACTTTTAGTATTAAAATAAAAAAATTTATTTAAAAATGTTAAAAACACAATTCCTTTAAAGTACATATTAAAACAACTTAGGAAGTCCAATCACATCCCATAATGGTCCGTAAGGTAATCTAAGACTGCTGATGTGCTTGACAAAGCATTAAATACTCTTTTTTCTTGCCTTGAAGTTATCTTTTCCATCATGTACATTAAATGTTGATGGAAACACATGTACGGAGTTCCAAGTTCAAGAGCAAGGTCAACCCAATCCCAGATACATTTCAGGGGGGTTTCCTCATATCCAGCAAACATGGCTGGGTTTGCTAAGAGTCCTCTTGCAACCATCACACCTGCAAATTAAAGCATAGAACATTTATCCACATATTAAGAACTCATAGTTACAAGGTCACACCCAAACAAACCTAGAATATTAAAAAATAAAGTATATTACAAGGTTTCACAATACCCTGATATTAGTCTGTATAATTCAATTATAATACAATTTTTTGAAGTTTCTATAAGTTTAAAGGCAGTTACAGATATTTTTTATTTTATTAAGACTTCTACATTAAGCAATTAATCTTTAGGTTTTCTGTTAAGGGTAAATCCAAACTGTCATAAATTGGGCTTGCTTGAAGTTAAGTTTTATCTGCATTCTCCCACCTAGCAGTAGGTATCACAGGGTTTGGTCTGCCAGTAATTTAAGGGGATAATGAAACTGCCTAGAAGGCTGAGGTTCTTTTGGTTCCTTTGACTACTCTTGTGTTCGCTCACTCTCAGTTCTAGTCTAGTGTTCTATTTTACTAATAGGCTATCTGTAAAATTCTTAACTAGTCTTTCACTGGATATGATGGTGGCAGTAACAAGAATGACTTTACCTCAACTAATCTACTGTTTCTAAGCATCATTTTAATAAATTGCTTAGCTTTAACCAACACAAGAGAAAAATATAGTTCCAATTTAAAGAAAAATAATGAAAACATTAACATTATTCTCCCACCCCTACTTTTTTTGCTAGTCAAAAAGACAAAAATTCAAGTACTTCTTTCTTACCATCTGTCCCAGTAATATGGCACACTTTTTCTGCTTCTTTTAAGCTTCTGATGTCTCCATTAGCAATAACAGGTATAGACATATTTTCCTTAATTATTTTAATGGCTTCATAGTGAACTGGCTGATGTCTTTCTTCAACAGTTCTTCCATGGACTGTAATCCAGGAAACTCCCGTTGCTTCAGCCTTTCGACAAAGATCCACAGTTCTTGCAAGATCATCATGGATCCTATAATTTCAAAATTATAGCCATCTTTTTATAGCACAAATCAAAGCTAAAATTAATAACTAAATAATATTTCATATAAGACATTATGTAATTTTTCTACATCATATTATCACTATACGCCACTATCAGTAAGGGTTCTTTTGCTCAGGGATCAGTTCCAATTTAAGATTTCAAATGTAGCTATTTCACTATTGGCAACAATAAGATGACAAGTTTTATCTTACCTAGTGCTCCTCCCCTTTGGCTTTCGAAACTGAAAATGTCAGCCAAATACTACACACATGAATTGAAAGATGCTATCCTAATATTTGCTTGTGTATGCCCATTCCTCAAGTGGGAGAATATAATACTCATTTATCTTGAAATATGTTTTTAACCTATCACCAACAAACTGATTCCTGGTTTATTTTATTTTCATTGTGAAATTTTAATGCAAATACCATTCCTATTTTCTATCTACTCTTGGTACCAGGATTGTATCTTAGCATTAATTAAGTAGTACATAGAAAAAGTTAAGGGTTTCTTTTTGAGGAAAGTTTTTAAATTTTTTTACAAAATTGATTTCAAAAAAAGGGAGAGAGAGATAGAAACATTGATGAGAGAGAAACATCAATCAGCTGCCTCCTGCATGCCCCACACCGGGGATCAAGCCCGAAACCTGAGCATGTCCCTGACCAGGAACTTAACTGGTGACCTCCTGGTGCATGCAATGGCGCTCAACCAACTGAGCCACACTGGCCAGGCTAGAAAAAAAGTTTTTAATAATAAAGGGATGTTTTCATTTCTGTTAAACAATACAAAGAGGAAGTTGCTCTGGATTATATATATAAATACTGTATATATCCATTTACTAAATATCTTGTTTCAACATTTCTATACACCACCTATAAGTTAAGGATAGAAAGACAACCCTGCAGCCCCAAACAGAGGAATATTCTTTTATTTCCTAAGTAAAGAACTATCTGTCAACAGATTAAAATATTTTTACCTTATTTTAATAGATACTGAAAATCTGGGATTTTCCACTTGATTTCTTACTTGTTTCACCATATCTTGAACAAGCTCTGGCTTGTTTATTAAGCAAGCTCCATAACCGTCAGCCATTGCCCACCTTTATGAAGCAAACACAACAACAAATAAACTGTAGTTGAAAAAGAAGATACATTTCTAAAGGCACTGTAAGTGCATCTACTATTTCTCTATCTAGCAAATCTTGAATGGAATCAAATTTTTACAATTCATAGACCCAACATTTCTAAGTGGACCAATTTAAGATGAGGAAAACAGGTTCCCAGATCAAAAAGTACTTAGGAAATAGTTTTCATTGGCAAGTCAGAGAGTTAAATTACTATCCATTCAACCAAAACAGATTTAAGTACTTGTAATTAATTTCAATTATTTCAGATTTTTTAAATTCCAAATTTGATGTTTATTATACATAAGAGGTTTTATTAGTCTTAATAGTAGAGAGATGTTTGGCTTATAGCATTCCAACACCACTAAATAGCTTATTTAACTCTCCTAATGAGTGTACAAATATGTCTAATCTGATTTGGATTATGCTGTATTTAAAAACTTGATTTTATTATTTGGACACATTTTGAATTATTGTCAGATAATCTAGAACAGTGTCAGAAACATAGGGATATTGTCAAATTAAGTACATCCTACAAATACACAGTTATTTAGAACCAATCAAATAATTGTGGTATAGGGGAAAGAAAGGTAATTATAAGAAGGTATTCTTATAAAGAAAATTAATTAGGAGAAAATAAGTGGTAAGCTCCCAAATCATAGAACCATAGTTTCTAGAGCACATATGTCTGACATGACAGTAAAAATACATTTTAGAATTTGCTATAAACATCAGTGTCTCATATAACTACTTATGCATGAGGTTCAAGGCAGATCCATACTTTAAAAAATTCTAGTGGTGAGGTAAGATAAAACAGCTGTCAAGGGTTTCTATACATTGTTTTAGCCATCAGAAAATATCTCTGCATGTATGTTCCTAAATAATCTTTCCCTGTTTTTTTCTTCTCAGAGCCTAAGTGCTTTAACTCTATTTTCTTTACTTTTTAATTATTGGAAAACTAGAAAGATAGTTTACCATGTTCACATAGTTTTTTCTAATCTTTTTGAAAATTCTTCCAACTTCTTTTGAGCTTTACCTCTGAGGGCAACCACAGTTAATGTCTATTCCATTCGCATAAGGACAGACTAAACGAGCAGCATCAGATAAAAGTCTTGCATCATTAGCAGCAAACTGAACAATTAATGGGCAATCACCTGATAAAACAAATAGCTCAACATTAAAATTCACAAAAACCCACATACACACACGAGATACCAATATAAAATAACTATTTTTAGCCTAAGAAGTATCTGTCCAAACAAGGGAGCATTAAAATAATTTAAAACATTTTAAATAAAAAGCAATTCACGTTTAGTTCAAATTCAAGTGTAAGGTTTGATAAAATGAAAGTACAATACTGTTGACAAACAGACCCTTTTCCAAAGGTGAGAATTAGTTACTGTATTCCAGAACAATTTTTTTTTATACTGTACAGCCCCCTTCAGTGCTCACAGCCCAAGGGTAAGGAGGCTGGGCAATGGTTTGAGGCTGCAACTTCCTCTGGCATGGGTCCACTACGAGAGGCCCACAGACAAGGGCCCCCCATAAATCATGATCATGCATTATTCCAGAACAATTTTATGTGTACTTGTAAATTTTTAACCAATGTGAACATTCTATGTACATTGCTACAATGCTTTTTTTTTTTTTTTTAACCTGATGTGTCTGGGAGCTGTACTTAGACTTATTTTCTTTTCAGTGGCATATTCCACTGTATATAGATGAACCACATAGTGTACTTCTAGATTGTTTTTCGTTTGTGGCTATTGCAAACAATGTGATGAGGATACTCTCACATGCTTTTGTGAGTACATTCAGAGGGTAAATTCCTAGGTGTATAACTTTTGGACAAGCATCTAACATTTGATAGACCTTACAAAAATTTCTTTCAAAACAATTTACCAACTGTGGGGACCCTATTCAAATGCTCAAGGTCAATTAGAGTGTGAAGGGCCTATTCAGACTACACCGGATGTTCAAGGCCATTCTGAGTGTGGGAATCTTAATCAAGTGTTCAAGGCTAAGATGCTATACACAGGTGCAAGAGCAAGGCCACAGTAATCTGTATGTACACTGCACAAGTGTGCCCTTCTATAACCCAAAAGACTGAGGTCACTATTTGGCAAGAAGCTTCTTTTGTGTAAATAGTATAAAATGTTAATGACCAACAGGCAGCATGTGGATGCTCAGCTAATGGCTGTAGGTACAGAGGCTACTGCTGCTGTGTGGGAAAGATGTACTGTTACCTAGCTGGGGCACGGTTACTGTATGGGACTTTGCTTTGAAGAACTGTTTTGTTTAGTGGCTCCTTGTTAGCAATGGCTACTTAACCACTGGCTCCCACAATAAAGACTCTTTTATATACCCACAACTTCTCATGGCTTCTCTGTCATCGAATACCTGGCGTTCAAGGAGGTCCAGCCCCTGGCAGAGGGGCTTGGACCCAACAGTTGGCCTAGTGGAGCAGAATGAAGGAACTGAGTTCCAAAACAAACATAGATACATACCAATATGGATTAAATTCTTGTTTTCTTATAACTTATCCTATGTTGTATATCCAATAGTGTATATTTTTCTTTCTGGGCTTTCCATATTCTTTGTACATTTTTATATGCACAATTTTTCTTTTAGTTATTCCTTTTCATTATTAAATTTTTTTATAAAATAATGAAATTAGCTCTAGCATAAATATAAAATATCATAAACATTTTCCCAATTTTAGTTTGTTTTTTGAGTATATTTGTGCTATTTTCTTACATATAAAAGTTTAAATTTTAATACAGCCAAATACATCAGAACTTTCCTAAGTTTTAAAGGACAATTATTTTTTTCATCTTTGGGTTAGTGTTAAAACTCTGCATAGATATATTTTAATTTTTCTAAAGACTTTTTGAGGACTACCTGTTTGAGATTTACTTGGGTGTTTGCCAAAAATGCAGATTTCTGGGTATCACCCTAGTTCCACTAATTTACAGTGTTATCTTGCGATCAGAAAATTTGCCTTTTCCTGAGGATGTAGGGTGCTTTCCCCTTTGTAACTCAAGAGAGTTATAGAACTTCACTTAAACATTTTCTTATGGTTCTAATATATTTTCAACACTGCACTAGAAACTGTGGATACGAATCAGTAAGAAACAGTTCCAGGTCTCAGGGAGCCCACAGTCCAGGAGGAGACATAGGTATTCAAAGAGGAAAGTATAACACAGTAGGATTAAGTGCAACATTTAAAGACTGTGCTTCAAAGAAATAATACGAGTGGAGGGTGATTAGGAAAGTACCTTAGCCACAAAATTCCAGAGCTACATTAAGAAGCGTAAACTGTTGTTTGCCAGAGAAATAGGGATATAAAGGATAAGCATGGCTGAGAAGGAGATTCTAGGTAGAGAAGTGTGAGAGAATAGAGCATGGGCCTTAAAATAATTTAGCATTTGTGAGTAATAAAGTCAGTGGGCTCTGGAGAAAAACTAATGGAAAATAAAGAAAGCTGAGGATGTATTCAGAGGCTAGATCATGAAGAATGTTACATATTATTCACAGGCGCTAGAATTTTACTCTTTGGGCCAGTGGGTCTCAATCTTTAGCAAGCTTCGAATCATCCGGAAGGCTTAGAGTTTCTGATTCAGTAGGCCTGGAGTGGAGGCAGTGAATTTTCATTTCTAACAAGTTTCCAGATGCAGCTTATCTTGCTGGTCTGGGGAATCACACTCTGAGAATCACTGCTTTAGGCAAAAAGAGGTTTAAGAGAAGTGATCAAGTTTACATTTTAGAAAGGTCACTTTGGGTTGTTTGGAGGATAGTTTAGATTGGGACAAGAGTGGGGGCGGTGAGAGAGGAATCTAATAGTCTCGGTGAGAGAATGTGGGCCCTAAGGAAGGCTTAGTGTTTTGTATACCATCCAGTTTGAAGACACTCAGTAAAAATGTATTTTACAAAGACTTACTAAAAAACATTAAATACTAAAAGATTCAAAAATAAAATCTCTGAATTGGGATTTTAAAGTTTTACCAAGTCAACAAACTCTGAGTTTCACATACCTTGGTTTGTGGTAAATTCACTGTCTCTGGCTTTTTCGGATCTGACAAAATCAGCAGCCACTATCATTGGTGTGTAGCACAGATCACAATTGTACTTTCTTACCAGTGTTCTAAAAGCTAACCTGTAAAGGGATAAAACTTTAATTAGACATTTAGAAATCACCCCAATCATACGTACTTCCAAGTTTCATTTAGTTAACTATTAAATATTTATTAGAGGAAAGGTCTATGTATTGGAAGATGGAGATGGACTTTCCCCTGTACTTCCTGCTTAGTATAACTAAAAACCCTGGATTTTATATGTAAAAAAAAAAAAAAGAAAATTTCTCAAAGGTGGAGAGAAGAAAACAGGCAGGCTAGTTACCTCAGGACCTGAGGAATAACAATGGTGAGTTTCTTGGGTTTTCTTTTTACCTCAAATATCCCAGACTTGGAGTTGAAGAAGTTGGCAACTTGGAAATACCAATATATGCAAACAAAAGAGCCTCTACAAGTCTGCTCTCCCTAGCCAAACAGCCAGGAAAGGATCAGCCTCGCAAGACAGAAAACTGTACACAATAGCAGCTCAGCTCCAGCCAAACACCAAGAACAAACAACTGTGGTTTCCCCTCCACAAAGGTTGAGTGGGGAGCCTAGGTTTCTACCTTTCCAAGGCTGTGACAAGGTTCTCCAACACCCCGCCAAGGTAGTACCAGAAAAGGCCAGGCAGGTAGCTGGGACTTGAATCCTTGCTGGCAAGTAACAAGGTGCCTTCGGTGGTATCAGTGGGGACCTCATGGGGAGTCTGGACTTCCTCCTCCCTCCCCACAGGGATTAGTATCAGAGCATGCTTAGAGCAGAACCAGGACTTTCCTCACTGCCTAGGAGCTACCAGGTCACCCACTCCATGCGCACCTGGAACTCTCCCCGCTGCTCAGCAGTAATGAGGAGCCCTTTGCCCTCAGAGTGTCAAAGGAGACCAAATGGGGAACCCGGACTTCTAACTCCATCTGATTGTAATGAGGTGGTGCCTCATCTTTCCCTGCTGTAGTGGTGTCAGAAAAACAACAGTTAAAACAGAAGGTTCAATACTCAGAATCAATGTAATCTACCATTTAATAGGCTAAAGAAAAAAAATCATGGTATTAATCAGTGCAGAGAAAGCACTTGACAAAATAATACTCATTCATAAAAAGAACTCTCAGTAAAATAGGAGACCTTCCTCAACTTGATAAAGAACACCCACAAAAAGTCCTACAGCTAACATTATACTAACAGGCAAAAGATAGATTACTTTCCCCCTAGATTAAGAACAAGGCAAAGATGTCTGCTTTCATCATTCTTATTCAACACAGTGCTGGAACCTCTAGTCACTGTAATAAGACATGATCAAAGGCATATGATAGAAAGGAAGAAAGAAAACTGTCCCTATTTGCAGATGACATAACTGTTTACATAGATAATCCCAGAGAATTTATCAAAAAACGCTCCTAGAACAAAAAGTGAGTTCAAGTTACAGGATATAAGATTAACATACGAAATCAATTTTATATCTATGTACAAGCAATTAACACATGAACACCAAAATTAAAAGTATAATACTATTTACAATCACTCAAAAAGAGAGATATAAATGGGTGTAAATCTAACAAGACATATACAGAACTCACATGCTGAAAACAACACAAAAGTGATGAAAGAAATCAAATAAGATCTAAATAAATCTTGACATATTGTGTTCATGAGTTGGGTGACTTAGCATAATAAGGAATTCAATTCTTTCAAAGTTGATATGAATATTTAATGTCATTCTTGTGAAAATTCAACTAGATATTTTGTATATATAGACAACTTCATCATAAAATTTACTTAGGACAGCAAATGACCTAGAATAGCTAAACAATTTTGAAAAAGAAAAATAAAGTGGAAAACTCAGTCTACCTGATTTTAAGATTAATTATATAGCTAGCTATAGTATGGTATTGTTGGAGGAATAGACACATAGATTAATGGAACAGAACAAAGAATCCAGATAAAGAGCCATACAAATACTCCCAATGAATTTTTGACAAAATACAAAAGTAATTCAATAGTGGAAAATAGCCTTTTCAATAAATTGTGCTGAAATAATTAGACATCTACAGTAAAAAAACAAAAACAAAACAAAACAAAACAAAACTTAACCTAAGCCTCACACTTACAAAAAAGTAACTCAAAATTGATCATGGACTTAAGTGTAAAACATAAAGCTAGAAGACTTTTAGATAAAAAAATAGGAGAAAATCTGTAGAATCCAGAGCTACACAAAGATGTCTTACACTTCACACCAAAAGCACAATTTACAGAAGAAACTGATAAATTAGACTTAATTATTAAAAAAAACCTTTTGCTTTGCAAAAGACAGTTCATTAAGAGGATGAAAAGATAAGCTGTATACTGGGAGAAGATATTTGCAAACCATAAATCTGATGAGTAGTACCTAGAATACATAGAGAACTCTCAAAACTCAATAGTAAACAAAAACTCAACAACAAAAGAACAAACAACCTGATTCAAAAATGGGCAAAGGACTTGAAAAAACATTTCTCCAGAGAAGATACACATGTAGCTAAAAGCACATGAAAAGAAGCTCAACATCGCTACAGAAATACACATCAAAACCACAGTGGATAGCGCTTTATATCCATTAGGATGGCTATAATAACAAACAAATAAATGCCTTAGTTAGTGTGGCTCAGTTGGTTGGGTGTCGTCCCATGCACCAGGAGGTTGACGGTTCAATTTCGGGTCAAGGGCACATGCCTTGGTTGGGGGTTTGATCCATGGCAGGGAGCATGAAGGAGGCAGTGATCCATGGTGCACTCTCACATCGATGTTTCTCTCTCTTCATCCCCCTCTCCCTTCCTTTTTCTCTAAAAATCAATAAACTATTCTAAAAAATAAAACAAAACAAAAGGCAAACAGAAACAAGTGTTGGTGAGGATGTTGAGAAATCAGAACTCTTGTGCATGGCAGATGGGAATGTATAACGGTATAGATGCTATGAAAAACAATAAGGAGTTTTCTCAAAAAACTAAAAATGGAATTATCATATGATCCCACAATTCCACTTCTGGGCATATGCCCAAAATAAATGAAAGCAGGTTTTCAAAGAGATATTTACACATCCATGTTGATAGCAGCATTATTCCCAATAACCAAAAGATGGAAGCAATCAAGTGGTCATCAATTAATAAATGAATAAACAAAATGTGATATATATGTACAATGAAATGTCAGTCAGCCTTAAAAAGGAAATTCTGATATACTAGAGGCCTGGTGCATGAATTCGTGCACCAGTGGGGTCCCTCGGGCTGGCCTGTCGGATCAGGCCCAAACTGGTTCTCTGACATTCCTCCAAGGGTCCCGGATTGCGAGAGGGTGCAGGCCCGGCTGAGGGACCCCACCGGTGCACGATCGGGGCCAGGGAGGGACACGGGAGGTTGGCCAGCTGGGGAGGGACCACGGGAGGGGTCCAGGGCATGTCTGGCCCATCTTGCTCAGTCCCCATTGGCCGGACTCCAGCAGCAAGCTAACCTACTGGTTGGAGCGTCTGCCCCCTGGTGGTCAGTGCATGACACAGCGATTGGTTGAGCGGCCTTAGCATATCATTAGCATATTACGCTTTGATTGGTTGAATGGCCGACTGGACACTTAGCATTTTAGGCTTTTATTATATAGGATGCTACAACATGCATGAACATTGATATTATGCTAAGTGAAATAAGCTAGTCTCAAAAAGACAAATATGGTATGATTCCACTTATATGATATATATAGACCAGTCAAATTCATAAAGGGAGAAAGAATGGTGGTTGCCAGAAGCTGGGGAAACAGTGAATGTGGAATTTATTGTTTAATGGGTATAAAATTTCAGTTTTGTAAGATGAAAAGAGATTGATGTACAATGTGAGTTTACTTATTCTGAACTGAACCATACACTTAAAAATGTTTAAAATGATAAATTTTAAGTTTGTATTTTATCACAATTGGAAAATTAAAAACAACTCAATAATAAAAAAGTAAACAATCCAATTAGAATATTAGCGAAAGATATAAAGAAACATTTCTTCAATAATATACAAATGGCAAGTAAGCACATGAAAAGATGTTCTATGTCATCAGCCACACAAGAAATGGAAATCAAAACCAAAATGAGATATCACTGCAAACCTATGAGAATCTACACTAATAAAAGAGAAACATGCAAATTGGTGTCACTACGTTATGCCCACCAGCCAATCAGAGAGACTATGCAAATTAACCCAACAAAGATGGCAGTTAATTTGCATATACAGGTGTGGAGTGAAGACTGAAGACTGAAGACTGAAGCCAAGCCTCGCTGTGGCCGCAGTGGAGAAGCCTAGCTTTGAGGCTTGGATTCTCCACTGCGGCCAGACCAAAGGCCTGGGTTCCGGGTGCCGGAGGAAAACCAGAGCCAGCAGCCAGGGGAAGGAAGACCTATTGCGTGAATCTCGTGCAACAGGCTTCTAGTGGCTAAAATAATAAAACAGTGACATTATGAAAAGTTGGTGAGGAGGAGAAACCAGATCCCTCATACATTGTTGGTGGGAGCATAAAACAATACAGCCACTCTAGAAAAGTTTGGCAGTTTCTTAAACTAATTAAACATATAACTACCATATGACCCAGCAATTGTAGTCCTGGGGATTTGTCCTGGATAAATAAAAACTTCTGTTCATACAAAAACCTGTGCAGAAATGCTTATATTTATTTATATTCATTTACTATCAATTATATCATTATAGGTAGGAGTTATAAGCACTATTGTTTTTAAAAAATGTTTTTATTGACAGAGGAAGGGAGAAAGAAACATGGTAAGAGGGAGCAACATTGGTTGCCTTCTGCATGCCTCCTACTGGGGGTCAAGCCCGAAGCCTGAGCATGTGCCCTGACTAGAATCGAAACAGCAACCTCTGGGTGCATGGGAGGATACTCAACCAACTGAGCAATACCAGCCAGTAGAGCTTGGAGAGGTTAACTGTTTACTCAGTGCCATACACATATTAGGCAAGTGGTAACACCAGGACTCAAGCCTTGATCATGATCCAAAAGCTAAGTGTTGGAAGATGACATGTGGTGAGGTGGCTTTACTTTTAAAAAGTAAGAGCATAAAAAGGAAATCACCATGTAACAATACTTACTTTGAATATCGAACCATTGGGGCGGAGACTTTTACCAGCTGCCCAGAATGAAACAGTTCTATTGGATCTTTTTTCTTTCTTGACATATTGTGGTTTGTATGCAGTCATTCTTCATGAACACAAATTTGTTTCAAATCTGGGGGAAAAAACCCCACAATCCATTTACATAGAGAAAAGGTACTTTTATTAGATGAATTCCTATCATTCTAACAATTTCAATTGCCAAGAACACACATTTTTCATCAGGCCAGTGGGCTTCGAAGTCTTTTTAGCTTCTTTTAGTCAAACTCCCTGTTGACGGGAAAATTTGCATATTCGCCTTTTATTATATAGGAGGATGTTTAAATTAACCTTCTTACATACTTGATTGCTCTGTTAATTTATCAGCATTTATCTTGGGAGAAATCTAGGTGAATAACTAATGCAGATGTAGCAGCGGAGATGAGAACTTGATTTTTTTAAAAAAATATTTTTATTGATTTCAGAGAGGAAGGGAGGAGAGAGCGATAGAAGCATCAATGATGAGAGAGAGCCACCGATTGGGTGCCTCTGGCATGCCCCCTCAATTGTGATCTAGCCCCCAACCCGGGCATGTGCCCCTGACCACAATCGAACCCGGGACCCTTCAGTCCCCAGGCCGACGCTCCATCCACGACGCGCCAAACCGTCCAGGGCAAGAGAACTAACTGGATTTTACAGCTTCAGCACTGTTGGTTGAGATACGGAGAGCCCATCCGTTTGTAATATGAGTAAGTTTGGCATCGCTCAAAGCACGTGGCTGAAACTGAGCGGAAGCAGAAAAGCAGGTCTGATCTCCTGGGCGAGAGGACAGAGACCGAGTGCACTTGTTCTTTCCTGGGTCGGTCCTCCTTCTGCACCGACTCCCGGCTCTCCCTAATTCTCACTACCCACCCCGGCAGCTGGCCTTCCCGGCCTTTCCCGTCTGCCTTAGCTCAGGGCTGAGAATCGGGGCGTGGGACAGAGAAAGCTGGGTAACTAATCTCTAACTCCCGCCAGGTGTGCCCGGGGAAAGCCGGCAGGGCTCCGCCAGCTGTGCCCGGGGAAAGCCGGCAGGGCTCCCACAAACCCCCGCTCTCCTCTCCGGCCTCCAAGGGGCCCTCGTTCTGAGGTTAAATACTTGCTTTAGCGATAAGCGCTGCGGCCACGTCCCGGCGCCCACCTTCTCTGCGGCCCGGGAACCACAACAGCCCTCGCGGGGGGCGCTGTCCGCGGGCTCCGGCTTCCCGGCTGCGCTGGGACCCGCAGGCTCCCGGAAGGACCCGTCCAGCTGCGGCCGATGGAGCCAACTCACCCCGCAGGTCCGGAGCCGTGGGCGGGGCGGAGCGGGTGGCGGTGGGAGTGGG